AAAGATTTTATTTATTTATTCATGAAAGACACAGAGAGAGAGAGAGGGAGGGAGGGAGAGAGAGAGAGAGAGAGAGAGAGAGAGAGAGAGGTAGAGACACAGGCAGAGAAAGAAGCAGGCTCCACGCAGAGAGCACAAGGTGGGACTCGATTCTGGGACTCCAGGATCACGCCCTAGGCCAAAGGTGGCGCTAAACTGCTGAGCCACCTGGGCTGCCTTCCATGGGACGTTTTGAAGGGCTATCTTCCCACAGCACATCTAGCACGGAGTGAATAAGTTCTTTATTCTCAAAAGGGAAAACACAGATTTATTACACTGCCCAGTGTTTCAGTGGCTTATAATAAGCATTAATTTCCTACTCTGTGCAGATTGTCTAGGATTCTGCTGAACTAGACCAGGCCAATTTAGGTGCCCAACTGCAGGAAGAGTCCAGATCTACTTCATGTATATCTCATCCTCTGCTGACAAAAGCTCAAGAGGGCAAGTCCAGACATGCAAACACATGTCAAGGCTCTATTATGTCACATATTTTGAATATCTTACTTGCCAGTCAAGTCACGTGGACAGACACAACATCAGTGGAGTGGAAGTATACTCTCCTATGGAGGTCCAGGGGAGGGAGTGAATATTTGCTGAATAATAATCCAGTCTACCATAGTGTGATTCTACTTAATGAACAAAAGATGAGAATTTCACTGCCAAAATTTCATTGTCAGTCTTTATCCTAAAATATTTCTGTTTGTCATCTCCATCTGTTATGAATGAGATGAAATGTGACAACACCTTCACCACTATTTGGCAGAGAGAACAGCTTGTGCTTAGTTCTTATGATTTTTTTTAAATTTAGATTTGAATGGATCTTGTCTTGTGTATCTGTATCTCTATTGAAAACATGGTATCTTTGCAAAGTATTTAAGACGAAAGATATTCAGTTCTTTGGCATTTAGTCTTTAAATTCTTCATCTTTAAATCGAGATATACATACAGTAAAGTGTATTAAGTATACTTAGGTACAGAGCTTTTAAACTTATATATATATATATAGACACACACACACATTCTTATAATCACCATCCAAATCTAGATAAAGAACACTACCAGAATCCCAAAAGATTACCTCATGCCCCTCCTCAGTCAGTGATCCCCCCACCCCACACCACAATCCCCTGCTTCTGAGGCAATCATTATTCTGACTTCTCTTCCCATTGATTGTTACTTTTCTCCAAGTTCATCTAAATGGAATCAGCCAGTGTCACCCGGGGGGCTCAGTCGGTTCTGCGACCAACTCTTAATTTTGACTCAGGGTCCTGGAATCAAGTCCTGTGTAGGACTCCACCCTCAGTGCAGAGTCTGCTTGAGATCCTCTGCTTCTCTCCATCCCTCTGCCCCTCCCCCTGCTCATGTGTGCTCTCTCTCTCTCTCAAATAAATCTTTAAAAAAAAAAATGAAATCAGCCAGTGTATTCTTTTACATATCTAGCTCTTGGAATTTTTATTATCTTACTGATAAAACATAAGTCATACATCAAACTCCTGTGTCTTAGTCTGTTTCTGAGAGTCTTCACTTGTTGCCTTGTCTGTGTTTTACTTAGAGCTCTTTAGGGTAAGATCAGACTATATAAAAGTAATTCAGAAGGAGCCACCTGGGCAGCCCGGGTGGCTCAGCGGTTTAGCACCACCTTCAGTCCAGGGCGTGATCCTGGAGACCTGGGATCGAGTCCCATGTCGGGCTCCTTGCATGGAGCCTGCTTCCTCTCTGCCTCCCTCTCTGCCTCCCTCTCTGCCTGCCTCTCTCTCTCTCCCTCTCTCTCTCTGCCTCTCATGAATAAATAAATAAATTCTGGAAAAAAAAATAAGGAGCCACCTATGTGTGTCAAAAAAATGGGGTTAATATGGACTTCTAGCACATCATGTGATCCTGATTTCCTTTGTGAAGTTGGTCATCAATTTCAATAAAATTATTCCCTAGGGATTCCATAGTGCATATGTCTGATGAGATGTTTATTTTCTGCACATACTGATCATGATGATACTCTCCTCTGGGCTGTGTTTTAAAGTGGGCTTTGGGGGTTTCATAGTCTCCAGTCAGCTACAAGTTGAACCCATTCTTTCCATTTGATTTGTGACAGTGCAGGAGTTAGTCTTCTGAAAGCAAATACTTCAGTGTTCAGTAACACTCTGTAAAGAACAGAACCTTTGAAACAATCTAATCACTTCAGATTATGGTCCTAATCACTTATAAAGGCTATGATATTGCTTTGGTTCTTTGAAACCTTATTAAATAATAGCCTATCATTTTTAAGAGTACCTCTAAGAAAAGTATTTTCATTCATATCACATGAACAAAAGACTGAATATCCTTTCATGCTTTGAGGGGCTGGTATAATATCAGCTGAGAAAAACTCACTTAATTGTGTGACTTTTGGTTTCAGAGTACCTGCTAATTATAAAAATTACTTCTACCTCCTGAGGAATCTCAGCAGCACAGTTCATTTATATAATTATTGATTTTTAATATCACTGTATCTTTTTCAGTTTTGTTATCCATTGTAAATTTTGTTTCAAAAATAATTGTTTATGGTAATACATTATTAATTGAAAGGATCCCTAAATGCTATTGGATTTTGTTTTCACTTTCATAGATCAGTTATCTACAAATAATAATTTCAGGGACGATGTAAACGTGTTTAACTGAATCTGTTGAACTGCTGAATCTGTCAAGTGAGGTTAGCTAGAAAAAGTGGAGTTCAATTGATTCTGAAGTTTGCAGAACACAGGCAAAGAATAAAGATCAATTCTAACATTTTTGTAACCCTTGTGGCAGAAGGGTGAGAAGAAATTCTTTTGAAAACTGAAGTTATTATTCCATAATGGTGACACATATAGCAAAAGACACTCTACATGGTCAGTGTGATTGGTTATACCTGGGGAATAGAAAATGAAATTCCTACTTGCCTTTGTTTTGTGGAATCCAGTGATTTATTTAAGAGAGATGTTAATCCTTATTAAAGCAGTAAGTTAACATACCTTAAACATGTTTGTAGATCTTAAATCCCATCTTTAGTTCGATCAACAAATTCCTATTCTAGACCCTTTTTCAATGTCTTAATGTATCACAGTGTAAATATCTTTTTAATGCATGCTGTAGCCAATAATTCTTTCTTTTTAGTAGATGTTAGTTGATATTGGAGCTAATTTTATATATATATTTTAAGTTTTATTTATTTATTCATGAGAGACACAGAGAGAGAGGCAGAGACACAGGCAAAGGGAGAGAAGCAGGCTCCATGCAGGGAGTCTGACGTGGGACTCGATCCTGGGTCTCCAGGATCATGCCCTGGGCTGAAGTCGGCGCTAAACCACTGAGCCACCCAGGCTGCCCTAATTTTATATTCTTATATGGATAGGGAACTCACTTATAAGCTAAATTTTAAGAAAGGTGTTGTCAAATTGATGTGATGCTATCTCCATTTAGTGAAAATTTCAGAAGATGCTTTGTGTACAAGGTGCAAGACTTGCTTTCATGTGTTAGAAAGTTTAAATAGAACTAGTTCTCCCGGGATCCCTGGGTGGCGCAGTGGTTTAACGCCTGCCTTTGGCTCAGGGCGCGATCCTGGAGACCCGGGATCGAGTCCCACATCAGGCTCCCGGTGCATGGAGCCTGCTTCTCCCTCTGCCTGTATCTCTGCCTCTCTCTCTCTCTCTCTCTCTCTCTCTCTCTCTCTCTCTGTAACTATCATAAATAAACAAAAGTTAAAAAAAAAAGAACTAGTTCTCCCTTGATAAGAATTTGATCACCTTGCCCATCAAATCTGGGCCACACCTTATCCAGACACAGCAGAGCAGATCATCCTGTTTTGCTCTTTTCCTGCTACACATACAAATGTGCATATATGCTACAAGTGAATCTCTTTCTCTCTGGTAGAAAAACCATTTGAGGTTTTTCAAAGCTTAAAATTTTGAGACCTAGGTTTATTCACTGCTTCTGTTGAGAAGAAGCATTTTTTTTTTTAAGATTTTTTATTTATTCATGAGAGACACAGAGAGAGAGAGGCAGAGATACAGACAGCGAGAGAAGCAGGCTCCATGCAGGGAGCCTGATGCACGACTCAATCCCGGGTCTCCAGGATCACACTATGGGCCAAAGGCAGGCGCCAAACCACTGAGACACCCAGGAATCCCCTGAAGCATGTTTTTTAAGTAAGCTAGACCCAAGGTACTTTTGCAAAAAGCCAGGAAATCTGGCCTTTTTTTGTAAAAAGCCAAGAAATCTGTCTTTCTTCCTTTCAAATTACTCTTCATATCACTGTCTCTTGAAATTTGTAGGAAACCTACCCCAGCCTAACCAATCCAAGCAAGCCTGGTTATCTGTTCTTGGTCTTACAAAATCCTAACCACGTTACTGTTTTCACCTGGATATGTACTTTAATTTTGTTTTGCTTAACATGAATGTGTAGTTTTGTTTGGTGTCACTATCATTTTCAATTCCACTGTTTTCTGTATCTCTCATTCTTAGGACATCATTCTTTTAATCCAACCTGAGAATATTTTTTTTCTCTCTCTGGTACATACTCTGTTTTCCCCATGTCAAGAAAGGCTGTGCCAGCCCTGTACAGTAGCTGAAGTGATTTTGGTACTCGTTAACCAAGAGGATGATGAAACTTACTGGCTTCCCAGTTTAACACCTAGAGGCTCTGGATCTTCATGGTTAGGTTACTATGACAAATGATTGCATTTTATTTTTTTTTATTTTTATTTTTTATTTTTTGCATTTTTAAAAATAAACGTCTTAGAAGGTACAAATCAGCATTTTCTTAAAGCAATGAGTGATACTGTAAGTAATCTGATGTTTAAATTTTTCTTAATTTTGTTACTTAAAAAAACAGTTGAGTGTATTAGTGTTAATTTTAAGTGCATCACACATTTTAGTATTTCTGTTTTTAAATAACCTAGGAAATTTGCATTTTGGCTAATCTTTTCTCTCCATTTTGTTTTCTTTAGTTTCATGCTATGGATACATTGTATAGGCACAGCTATGATTTGAGCAGTGCGATTAGTGTCTTGGTACCAGTTGGAGGACCTGTTTTATGCAGAGATGAAATGGAAGAGTGGTCAGCCTCTGAAGCTAGTTTATTTGAAGAGGCCCTGGAAAAATATGGCAAAGACTTCAATGACATACGTCAAGACTTCGTAAGTAGAAAATTGCAAATAAAATGTTGGGATAGGAGTGTTTTGTCTTTATCAGGAATTTGGTAAACCATTTAGCAAGCCTGTGACTTAGTAATTTTTATCTGCTCCCTGTGGAATGAAGGCTAGTCTTAGAGAGGGAGAAAACTGACTTTTCTTTGGGGAAGTAATTATAAGACCCAGGGTTAGGAGATTCTGAGTTCAACTTTAAGATATGGATAGTTTTTCTCACCATTTGCACTATTTCTGAGCTCTGCTTTTTGAGTTTGTTACTCTCCTTTAGACCTTTTATATTTTTATATTAGTAGGATGACTAATTGAGCCTGAACTTGATGTGGACCTTTAATATGGAAACAACCTGTACCAAGCAGAGTAGGAAAATTTGCTTTAGGAGTTTTCGGTCTTTGACTCCTCTTAATGATATGTGGTATCTTACTTGCATTTTCAGTACTAGATAATCTTACCTACTATTATGTGCTTCCTCTTGTCTTTGTAGTTGTGGAATTGCTCTCTTTAATTAAGCTTATAATCTCTTTGAAATGGGGAAAGTTCTATTTGAGAAGTCCATGGATAGCTTTCTATAACAGTCATCCTTTCTAGCTTATCCAGTTTGTTGGTGTGTGATTGTTCACAGTAGTCTCTAGTGATCCTTTGTAGTCCTGCACTATCAGTTGTATTGTTTTCTCTTATTTTCATTTCTGAGTGCATTTCAGACTTCTTTTTTTTTTTTTTTTTTTGTCAATTTTGTTTATCTTTCCAGAAAAGTAACTCTTATTTTCATTGGTCTTTTCTGTTGTTTTTCTAGTTTATACTTCCATTTATTTCTCCTCTGACCTTTGTTGCTTCTTTCCTTCTGCTAACTGGATACACTCTTTCACTTACTTTTTCCTTTTTTTTCCACTTTAACCAGATAATTTCTAATGACCTGTCTTTGAGTTCACAGATTCTTTTTCTGCTTGATCATGTGTTTTTGGTGTTCTGTGTGGCATTTTTCATTTAATTCATTGTATTCTTCAGCTTTAGAATTTTTGTTCAGGTTTTGGGGATTTTCGTATGTGTGTGACTTCTTTCTCTTTTGAGCTTCTTATTTTGTATATTATTTTCCTTCTTTTGGAGTCTATCTCCTGATTTCAGTTCTGTCTATATTTTCTTGTAGCTCACTGAGCTTCCTTATAACCATTATTTTAAAATCATTATCAGGAAATCATAGATTTCCATTTCTTTGGGGTCAGCTATTGGAAAATTGTTTCTTTGGTAATGTCATGTTTCCTTAATTTTTTGTATTTCTTACAGCCTTGTGTTGATGTTTGTGCATTTGATTTACTAGTCACCTCTATCAGAATTTACCCACTGGTTTTAGTGGGCAGAGACCTTCACCTGCAGTGGGTGCAAGGGTGTTGAAAGGGCAAGTCTGATGGTTCCAGCTCTTGGGAAGGCCCATAAGCATACCGTATATTTGGCTCCATCAGCTGGGGTCAGTGTCAGTTAAATTGCAGGAGTCTTCAACAGCCAGTGCTCCGGGTATCTGCAGTGGCAGTGAAGGCTGTTGGGGTCTTTGGTGGCAAAGGCTGCTGGGGACCTCTTGATCTCTTTCTCTCCCGTGGGATATATCATTGCCAAAGGGATCCCTGTCAGCATTGGATCCAGCTTTGGAGTACCCTTGCCATGGCAGTGAGCACAAGGTGTGAGCATGCTTGGACCACTACAGAGCTAGGAGTGAAGCATGTAGGTTTGCAGAATGACAGCGGTCTAGGGTCTAGGTGCTGGCTAGCCTGCCGTGTCAGTGCCAGAGATATGAACACACGTGGAACAGACATGGAATCAAGGTCTACAGTGCGGGTGCATGCGGAGCAGCCAGGGTTCTGGGGTCCTGGTTGTTCACAGGGTTAGAAGTTGGAGCTGGGAGCTCTGTTCCTGGGGTAGGGACACAGCATTGTCATCTGGGAGGGGAGCAGCAGCATTTCCCTCTCTAGGAGGTCAGTATCAGCAACGGCGGTTGGTTACTTCAGTAGCAGAAGCTGTCAGTTTTCTCAGGCTGTGAACATGGCGGGAATATGCAACTGTCCTGATGGCTATTGAGGTCCTCAGTGGCAATGGCTGCCCGGCTCCTCTGCAGAGTAGGCCACTGGGACCACAGTGACACCCACTATGTGGCCTATACTGATAGCTTTTACCCTTCTTCTTTGTTCTTAGCCATTTCCAGGTGTCTCAACTAAGCCTACCTCTGCAGTGATCCTTTCTGAGTGTTTTTCGTTCTTTGCTCCACTGTGTTGCCATAGCTTCTTATTTTACTATATCCATCCTCCCAGGGCTATTTTTATTTGTCGATAGCTGTCAGATACAAAGACAGGTATCTCCTACTCCTCTGGCTTGCCAACCACATTCTCCCTGTTCATTTTCTCCTGAGTTGTCTAGTTTGTTGTCATAAAATAGATAATAATCTCCTACTACCCTTTGAAGGTCTTGGGGATGGAGCTTTAGTGATGCTCCCTGTCTCATTCCTGATACTGGGAATTTACTTCTCTCTCTTTCCTATCAGTTCAACTAGGAGTTTGTCAGTTTTCTTGATCTTTGCAAAGAGCCAGTTTTTTGTTTGATTGATTTTTGTTTGTTTCATCAATTTCTGCTTTTATGTGTGTCATTTCCTTTCTTCAGCTTGCTTTAGGCTTAAGTGCTTTGTCTTTTCCTACTGTCTTTTTAAGGTTGAAGCTTAAGGTTGAACCTTTCTTTGTAATGTAATCATTTATTGGTAGTATATGTTTTGCTGACAGTGATTTTTGCCTTTTCTCAAAATCTTCTGTCCTCTTTAACAAAAATGTTACTCTATATGGAACTCATTTTCTTCTTTTTCTTTTTCAATACTTTAAAGATGTCTCTCTGGCTTACATAGTTTCTGATGAGAAGTACTTTTGTATGTAAATGTTTCTTTTTTGTGTGCTCAAGATTTTCTCTTTTCTCTCTCTCTCTCTTTTTTTTTAATTTTCTCTTTTCTTTTGTGTTTTTAGCAGTTTTATTACTACAGTGCACCTGGGTGTGTTTTTTTTTTTTTAATCATTCTACTGAGTTTCCAAGAGCTGTAATCTGTTTGTATGTTAGTTTGTATAATTTATATTGATCTATCTTCCAGTACACTAATTCTATGTCCAGTATACTGAGAAACTTGTTAAAGGAATTCTTCAAATATGATAGCATGTTTTGCTTGACATTTATATTTTATTTTTCATACCTTTCATCTCTGTTTAAATTTCCCATCTATTCATGTGTGCTGTCTTACCTTTTTAACCAGATCCTTTAATATATTAATTTAATCTGTAGCTGGGCCAGTTTTGGATTTGGTTGTTGTCCTGTTTACCTTCAGGGTACCACTGTACTGGAAGGCCTAAAATTTCATGTACTGCCTTGACATTTTGAGCGTCACTGGGCCCCAGAACTTAACTGAATTCCACTGCTCTTTCCAGATTTGCCCCTCACCCAGCAGGAAAGATTCCCCACCTGCCCAGTTCTTCTAGCACCTCCCTCTGCTCCTCCTTCAACCCTATGGGTTTCACTTCCTTGCCAGCCTGCAGAATTACTCAGACAAGCCAGGCCCATTCTCCCATAGGAACCTTTTCCAAACCAGGATATACCTCACCTTCTTGCTACACAGAACCTTACTTCCCCAGCCCCTAGTGACTCACTGTGGCCCTACATGGTGTTGTCTTCCTGTGGGCTGTATCTATGACTAATGAAACACTGTGTGTCTCTGCTGTTTGTCTTCAGTGTTATGTGCTGTCCGTCTGGCCACCTGATACTCTTTTGAGGGGCAGGTCCCTCCCTGAATGAAGGGGTGAATAGGAGGTTATCTGAACATCCACAGACTTCAGATTCTTACCTGTGCTTAACTCAGGGCCTGGAATGTGGGAGGGCTTCTTCAGTATTCCTGTCTCAGACTCAGCAAGCCCTGTCCTCTAGGGCCCCTCTCTACATTTTGATAAGTTGTGTTTTCATTTTCATTGCTTCAGAGTATTTTTCATTTTTCCTTCTGATTTTCTTTTTTGACTCATGGATTACTTAGAGGTAAGTTCCACATATTTGTGATTTTTCCATATATTTTTGTTACTGAAGTCTAGTGTAATTCTGTTGTGATCAGAAAACATACTTTGTAAAAAAAAATCAAGTTTTACATTTTTTACATGTGATTGATTTTTGATCTCAGTATATGGTTCATTATTATGAATATTCCATGTGTTCTTGAAAAAAAGAGATATTTTGCTATTTAGTGGAATGTCCTATACATGCTACTTAGGTCAGATTTATTAATGGTGGTACTTAAGTCTTCTGGAGCCTTACTGATTTTCTGTCTACCTGTTCTGTTCTTGAGTGAGCAGTATTGAAAGCCTCTAGCTATGACCGTGAATTTTCCTGTTTTTCTTTTCAGTTATAGTAGGTTTTTGCTTTAATTATGCTGAATCTCTGTTACTGGATACATACATTGAGGATTGTTACCTTCTCGTAATGAATTGACCCTTTTAAAAAAAAAAGATTTTATTTATTCATTCATGAGAGAGAGAGGGGCAGAGGGAGAAGCAGGCTCTATGCAGGGAGCCCAACATGGGACTCGATCCCAGGTCTCCAGGATTCCACCCTGGGCTGAAGGCAGCGCCAAACCGCTGAGCCACTGGGGCTGCCCTGATTTGACCCTTTTTTAAAAAGTTTTTATTTATTTATTAGAAAGAGAGATTACAAGTGTTCTGATGAACACCTGATGGAGATCCGTAGCAAATGTGGATGGATTCCCCTAGTACTTAGAGCTCCCATAGATGTTAAACAGTTGCCCTAGCTCACTGTTGACCTTTAATAATTTGGTAAATTTTTGGCTGTTTTCTTCTTACTTTGTTTTTATTTGTTTTGTTTTATTTTATTTTAATTTAATTTAATTTTATTTTATTTTATTTTATTTAGTGCTTTGCCAAAGTGAAAATAGTTCATGAGTTTCATGAGTCTAGGGTTTACTCAGAGTGACTTTGGAATTCAGTTCAGTTGATTGTCTTGTAAATTTAGCTCCATGATAGGCTCAAGAATTGGTGTGGTTTTTAGATTATCTGGATTTTTTTTTCTCTCCTCATTTTTAGGGTGAGAATGACATTCTCTTGTAGATTTTATATTCTAAGAAGAAACAGGACCTGAAATATACAAATGAACCTGATAAAAGTACAGAACAGTAAAGTCTGTGTTCCTTCATGCATTCAGGTCTCTTGCCATAGAAACTTCTTTCAGCAGAGGATATTTCCTGGCTGTTTTATCATTTAAACTTCAGTTGCAGATAACAAAATTACAAAAGCTATTTTAAACAGAATGGGATTTGATTTTGGATAATTATTTTTATAGTTTTATATATTATATAATATAGAGTCAATTGATAGGGTTGGAGAAATAGGCTCCAGGATGGACATCAGAACCTTCTACTGAAATGGTCCAGCAGGGGAGCTTCTACCTCTGCCCTGTCCAGGAAGTGGGAAGCTGGTAGGTTAACAACCTCTGTTCCAGGATTATACTACTTTAACGATGATTTTGGAATTAGGAAGCCCCTAGTGGAGCTGATGGCTCTGGGACAATTTTATGCCTCTTTGCTCTGCTGCAGCTAAACAGATACCTGTGCACCATTCTATCCTGCTTAATTCACTTCCGAATTTAGGTCTTCTACATCTGTTTGGAAGAATAAATCACAAGGGAGTCTCAGAAATACAGTACTTCCATTCTAGCCTTCCACTATAGGTGAGTGAACTTGAAGGAAGTTGGAAAGCTGTAATTGGAGATGACAGTCTATTTGAGTGAGCTAGTTTAAGGAAAGAGATTTATTACAGGGTGTGGTACAGGCTAACAGAACCTCCAGGTGGGCCAGAGATCCAAGTTTAAATGCTTCACAGCTGGACTTTTAAAGCCAAGAATAGTATCTAACTCTGCAATGGCAACATTCTAGCAGAAACTTAATTTCTGCTCCAACTTGACTGTCAATAAAGGCCACACATTGGTGTGCCTGGCTGGCTCAGTCAGAAGAGCATGCAGCTCTTGATCTCAGGGTCATGAATTCAAGCCCCACCTTGGGTATGGAGATTACTTAAATAAAATTCTTAAAAAGGCAAATGCCGCATACCTAGGGCCTATTCTTTGAACACTTTACTTTCTACCTTTGTATGAGCTAGAGTGCTTTTGATTATGGATAGGAGAAACTCAACCTCACCTAGTTTAGAATAAAGAATAAATGTATTATATTAGGGTTCTTAGTTGCTAAGTACAAGATTCCCTGTATCTAATTTAAGCAAAAAGGAATATAGCATATTGGGTTTTTACAGAATCCCGGGGAAGACCAGAGAACCAGCTTTGGACTTCCAGGAACAGTAGAAACATCCATGCTCTCTACCTCTTGGAAACCATGATGTTAAGTATGGATGGCAGAAAGGTCAACACAGATGCCCCAGAAGAACATGATATCTCAACATGATATCTCATGATATATATTTTTTTAAGATTTATTTATTTTAAGAGACAGAGTACATGCAAGGGAGCACGGGGAGGGGCAGAAGGAGATGGAGAGAGTGAATCCTTAAGCAGACTCCCCACTGAGTGTAGAACCCTATGCAGGGCTTAATTCCAGGACCCTGAGATCATGACCTGAGCCAAAATCAAGAGTCATACACTCAGCTGCCTGAGTCAGGCGCCCCTCAGCCGTCTTTCTTGCCAAACAGTTCATTCTCCCTGCATGCAGCCTCATTCTTATGTTGCTCAGTTCTCTATCTGGATGTCATTTTGTCAGCTTGCCTAAACATGGCCCATATGTCTGCATCCTTGGTTGAGGGTATCTGGGGAAAATGTTTAGATCTTTAAGGAAGGTAAGCTGGAAGTGGGTGGATAATATCTGCCATCACTCAACATCATCCTTGCCTTCTGTACATGCTTCCTTTCCATATATCAACTTTTTAAACAATTGTAATTATCCCTGAATTTTTAGAAAATGTGGTACTTTTTCTTCAAATTTAATTTCACAGCATCCTTCTCTGGTTTTAGTCACAACTTGTCTTTATAGCTTGTTACTTATGCATTCAATTGTAAAGGTAAAACTACCATCAACAGACCTTATATAAAAATAGAAAGGGAATTGGGCTGCTGAAGGAAAATCATTATACCAAGCAAGGAAAGAAATAAAGATAGCTTCTTTCATCTTCTTTCTGTTTCTGATACTTATCCTGAGGCTTTTGTTGGCATTCAAAATCTAATTCCTCTACTATTCTCCTCTTAGTTCCTTAGATGGCCTGTGTTCTTAATCTGGTAGGGTGACCCATACCTTTATTTCTGAGGGTTCTGAGCCCTGGGTTAGAAGCAGTGTTCTGTGAGAATAAGTCATTCATAAATCTGTGGTTGGTATTGCTAGCTAATGCATTATAGGCAAAAAAGGCAAGTCATATTTAGAATAATTGTCTATTCAACAAGAACAAGATGTCTATTCATTCCAGGATGCTGAGAGTCTAATGTAACTGACATGTTACCAGGAATGGTGCCATGTTTGAAGCCCAGTATACTCTGTTCCTTGCAGATTGGACACCTGGAGTAATCAGATCAGATTTGGTGAGAGGACATCCATGTAATAGTACCCATGTGTAATCTCTGTCTGCTTGCCTCTGTGTTTGTTTATGTGTCCTTTGAGCAGTCATTGTTTTGGCTAGGAAGGAGGCTGACTGAGAGAGCTCTAGAGGAGATCATCTTGTCCTGCTGGTACTAATGAGAACTTCCTCTCCAGAGGGAGCCTTTGATAAGCATGGAGACACAGATATCCTCACACTTGGGCCCATCCAGAGGTATCCTTCCCATAAACCTCTTTCCTAAGCCTCGATGTTACCAACCTTCTGATCTGATTCCTTTCAAGTCCCCAATCATCATGACAGTTAATAACCACTCTCTATGAGTGGGTATGGATTAGTACCTCTGACCAGATGATGACTAATGTCCTGCCCTCCCAAAGGTTGTCCCTTCTTCACTGTGCTTCAGAGCCACTCCTACCTGGGACTGAAATGCTGCAGCAGTAGCACCCTGGTCAGTGCCAGTATATCATGCAAAGCCATCTGCCGCATTCAGATTTTTTCCTTCTCACTTGACATATCCTAGGGAATGCTTATGAAGCCGTGAGGGTTGAGGGAGAAATGATCCTGCAACAGGAGTAGACACACTGGGATATGTTACTTGTGCTTTCAAGAGCTGTTCTTGATGAGAGAGCAGTGGTGATGAGCACAGCTGATTAGGACTTTATGGCTTAGATAAAATCTGTCTGATGATGAAGCTCAAGTTACATAGGCACTTGGTTTCTTTTTCTCAGCCTTCCAGGTAATTGCAGGCCAGGGGATGTTTCTCAGAAGAAGAATATTTAGGAGATAAAGAGGTCTTAGCTTGCTTGAGCTCTGGGGGACTATGCCTGTGACTATTCTCTGAACCCTGGCGGACTATGCCCATGACTATCCTCAGACATCACCATGAGGTTTTGTGGTGGGCTGCTTACCATCCTCAGACACTTTGAACTCCATTAGATTGCTTGTTAGGTTGTGGAAAACGGTACTTGCTTTAGCTGTAATGCAGCTGCCAGTGGCTGTGTGACTTGGTCCTTTAAGGAGGCCGCATTTGTAACTGCTGTTGGAATTGCCACCCTGTTAAGCTTAAAATAATTTTCTTTCTCAAAACTCCATCTGTTTTCTCTTCAGAGCAAACAGGTGAGTGAATTATGAAGGTGATAAGAATGGTGTGGATATTGTACACATCGATATCAAGCAGACCCCTAGCAGCAGTGGGGTGTGGGAAGTACTGTTTTGACACTCTAATCCCCATGGTACATTAGGGCAAGCCAGCTAGGAGTCAGGGAGAGCGCTGAGTCACCTATCAGTAAAATCTGCCGTTTTACCGCAATAGCTAAAGATTGTGGCTGTCGATAGTCATTTGTTTGAAGGTTTGATCTATTTCTGATTTACATCTTGGATGACTGACAGATTTCCCTTTACAGAGGGATGTATTGAATATCGTTTTGGTTGTGGGTCTCATTAGTAGGAGCTCATTTGGCCAGTTTTGAGTCATTATGGAAAATAGTAAAGGTAAGCTTCCTATTTCTCAAATACAAGTCACACTCAGCTATGTTGTCTTTCAGAGGTTTTTATTTTATTTACAACAAAATAGGTCAAAATAAAGCAGTTTTTTAAAAGATAAGAACTGCTTTGCTGGAGACTAAATGACAACCAGGTGTAGCTGGCATCTTTGGAAGTTTAAAGCAACTTAGGCTAAATCTATTCAAATATCACTTCTAAAAATTGTACTTCAATCCCACCTGCAGCCCAAGAATAACTTTCCTGAATAGGTCACGAAATATTACCATTTATAATCCTTAATAAAACAGGAGGTGAGAAACGGAATGTGTTGTACTAGAGTCTCTGACTTAATCGAACTTGTTTGGGGTACCCTTTGCTAAGAATTTTAATTTTCTCAAACACTTCTCCTAGAATGAATCTTCCGTGTGGATATTTGCCTCATTATTTTTAAAAAGTGATTTTTTTAAAAAAAGAAAGCAGTTTCTTACAGTAGCTTGTTTTCCATTATCATGTTGAATGTTTTTTCAGCTCCCCTGGAAATCATTGACTAGCATCATTGAATATTACTACATGTGGAAAACTACTGACAGATACGTACAACAGGTAATTTTTTCATATTGCTGCCAATACAATTACATTAGTGTGAGCTTTCTGTTCATATCTTTTTTAAAAAAAACCTTTTAAATTATTTTATTTATTTATTTGAAAGAGAGTGAGAAAGAGGAAAAGCAGATAGAGAGGAAGAGGCAGACTCCCTGCTGAGCAGGGAGTCCAACAAGAGGCTCCATCCCAGGACCCTGGGATTGTGACCTGAGCTGAAGGCAGGACTTAAACTGACCGAGCCACCCAGGCACTGCTTTCTGTTCATATCTTAATATTTCTTAGCAATACACTTAATTTTAAATATGTTTGCTCTATCTTTTCTTTACTATTTTAAACTTTATATAATTTCACATCCTTAAAACACTGCTTAAGATTTTAGTCCTCAAAAAAAATTTTTTTTAGTCTTCATATTTTCTTTACTTCAGAAGTCATCATTGGTAAATATTTTGGAAAGACGACAGGGAAGGATACCACTAAAGAGGTATTATATTCCGTGCCAGGTGCATAGTGCCTTATCTGTTTGTGAATATAGTTGACAGGAATGACCTAAGATGTGAACAATTTATTTTTACGGATTATTAGAAATTTAGACCAATGCCATCAGCCATACAGTTGAAGATATTTTAAAAGATCTGGAACCTCCTTAGATGACATTTGTGTCAAATATATCTCCCCTGAGTCTTTGACCTTAATTAGAGTAGTTAATCTTACTAGTTTGATGTTTTAGTACTGTATATAAATTTTTCTCTAAAATTATTTCTCAAAGTAGGGAGTCTTTTAATTTTGAGTTCTTCCTAAATGTTCCAAGTTGAGGTAATTTTCTCAATTACTTAATTTGAGTACTATTACTTTTGGGGAAAGGCACATTTTCCTCAGTGACTTCAGTTAATATTTGTTTTTATATTCTTCTAGTCACAGGTTAGAGCTGGTAAAGAAAGGAACAAATATATTCAACACAGAGATTATTTTCCTTAAGTTATGTGATCACACAGTGGCAAGTGTTGCATGCTATAAAAATACATTTTAAGGATCACTTTTAATTTTTTTGAAAGGTTTTATTTATTCATGGGAGGCATATGTAGAGAGAGGCAGAGACATAGGCAGAAGGAGAAGCAGGCTCTATCCAGGGAGCCCAATGCAGAACGAGTCGGGGGAGGGGCAGAGGAAGAGAGGGAGAGAGAATCCCAAGCAGGCTCCACGCCCAGTGCAGAGCCTGACACAGGGCTCAGTCTCATGACCCCAAGATCAAGATCTCAGCCAAAACCAAGAGTCAGACACTCAATCTACTGAACTGCCCAGGCGCCCCAAAGATCACTTTTTAAATGACCACAGTGAGTTGTCGAGATCATGAATAGTGAATACGTATCCATGGCTTGTTGAAAGGTTTCGGGTGTCAACATCATGCATAATCCAAAAGTGCTTATTTCAAACAATATAGAAGTGAAGACCATGTACTCTGGAAAACTTGGGATTTTCAAGGCCAAAAGTCCCTGGAGACGGTGGAGATAATGACATCATGGGTGGTTGAAAAGTGGTTTATGGATAAAATTATTTCCAAATATTTCAACTTGGTTTCTAAAAGTTTTAAGTTATCCCCTTAAATGTTTTGTATTCTCATTGAGAAAATGGATGACTGCCTTATATTCTGGTTTGTAATTTTTTTTTTTTTTTGGATATTGGCAATATATTGTTTTTCTTCCTTGTTGGTATTCATTTACTGTGTTGATCAGTTTCTGGATATGACTATGTAATCTTTTCCCCATTCCTTTCCCTACATTTGGCTCCTAATGGCTCCTAAAATCTGATGTGAGTTCAGTCGGCCTTAAAGCTTATTGCATATTGCATCATATCTCTTAACATTTGAGGGTAAATGCTTATTTAATTGTACTTAGGGGAGTTGTTATCTCTTTCTTTCTCATGGACCTTGGAAACGAATCATTTCTGGAAAAGAAATTTCTTTTAAAGCAAAGAAAGTGTGTGTGTGTGTGTGTGTGTGTGTGTGTGTGTGTGTGTTTCTCCCAGAAAGGTAAAAAAAGTAGAAACTAAATTTGCAAAGTAAAAATGGTTACTTACAAATCCTGTTTATTCACTCATGGAGCAGTGGGAAATGGACTTAATCACTGCTTTAATTTTAAAATCTAGATCTACAATGTTATTAATACTTGCAGTTCTGTACCTCAGAACCCAGTGACTTGTCTTACAAATTGACACAGTTTAAGAATATATACATGAAAGAAAGACCTTTCCTAAAATGGCAATTTTTGAATGTTTAAGACAAGAAGTAGTAATAATTATTAGGCATTGTATGTAAAATATTTTATCTATCTTTTGAATTAGAAACGTCTAAAAGCAGCAGAAGCTGAGAGTAAACTGAAGCAAGTGTATATCCCAACTTAGTAAGTAACAGAAATCTTTTAAAATATTTGTCATAGTTTGAATTCAATGAACACAAAATATGTCATCTTGGTCAATTTCAGCCAAATTTGAATTTCTTTGTATATCTTATTTTCTGACACTACAAAGCACTAGACTTGCTTTCCATTTTACCATTACAGTGATTTTTTTTTAGAAAGAAAAATGGCTGGTGAGAGACAAACAAAAGGACTAGAGGAAAGATGCCATGTCGCCAGTGAAACTCTGTTATTTGAAGCAAATGTTTTTCAGAAAGTCAGCAGCTCTTGAAATTTCAATGTTATAGAATGGACTTGAGGGGCATGTAGTGCACGTTGCCCTTTGGAGATTGTTTATTTGGTTGAGGATTTTATATTGTTTACTTAGGAGAAGGGTTAGAGAAAGTAAGAAGAATCATACTTTGTAAATGTTGAATAAATAATGAATAGGTATCAGTTGTTTCATGTGTCTGGTATTCTAGCATCATTATTTTGGGGACTTAGAAATCATTTTCATCAAAATGAATGCCAGTTTGCTTCTCATTTGCTACATTTTAAATGAATTATAGTCTTTTTTGAGGTCTGTAAGAGTTCAATCATTCATTTGTTGACGAAAATTTAGTTTATTGAGCACTGAGTATACAGTGCTATATTAGGTTCTTTGGGGACTAAAATGAAATTTGCTACAGGGTTATATGTGCTGCTCCAAGATTTCTCTCACTTAGTATAGTTGTTTTATACCGAGGCTTTTGTTTATTGAATTTTGATATATTAATACATTTATATAGAGGAGTCCTCTTAGACAATGAATCGTGTTATTTTTAAATCATTTTTTATCTCAAGGCAGATAACCTGTAATTTACAGGATTCATAATTTTTTTTCAGAGCTGTAATGTCCCTTCTGCAGTGGTTTCCAGTACCTTAGAAAATTTTATATTATATGTGAGTAATTTATAAAAGAGCAACTGCCCAAAGAAAACAGTGTGGTGATTCATATGTGAGGTTCTTAGAAGCAAACATAGCAGCTTTCTTGTGCATTGTAGTGCTGTCACATCAAAGGAAAAGTACATTAAACCAGTTTTCACCTAGTAACCCAGAGAATTGTTTCTGTTATGTTTTGCATTGACTTTGTTGGAGTCTTGATCTCAAAGACCAGCAACCTATAGTCTGCAGGCCAAATCTGACCTGCTGCCTGTTTTTATAAATAAAATGTTGTTGGAACACAACCATACTCATTCATTTATGTATTATTTATGTCTGCTTTCATGCTTCAATCGCAGCGTTCAGTGGTTGTGACAGAAATTGTAATCTCCACAGAACTTAAAATATTTGTGGTGCCAGCCTGATCTAAGTGAATGATTTTTGGAGATTAAGACAGTTTCTAATCATAACTTTTTATTTTATTTTTATTTTTTTAACTTGAAAATATAATTTTATTTTTTTTAATAAATTAATTTTTATTGGTGTTCAATTTACCAACATACAGAATAACACCCAGTGCTCATCCCGTCAAGTGTCCCCCTCCGTGCCCGTCACCCATTCACCCCCACCCCCCGCCCTCCTAATCATAACTTTTTAAAAAAATTACATAAATCTACATAAATAGAAGGTATGAAGTCACCTTCTGAGTCCTTGGATAAGAATCTGAGTCCTTGGAAGAATTTCACAGTTAACTCTGAAATCAAGTATTTTGAAACAAATAATGGATTAAGAATTATTTTATGCTGTCATTCTTTTGAGCCTGGCAGTCTCTTGTATGCAAAGCACTCTGTTCGGTACTAGAGGTGGAAAGGTTAGAAAGGTATACCACATTCTAGTGTGGGAGAGACTGGTGCCAAACAGTCGCCTAGTGTGACAAGTACTATGATGAAGAAGAATAGCACAATTTTTATGAGAATTGGTACAGGACGACCAGACTCAGTTGATTCCTTGTGGAAGTGAGTTTGAGTGAATTCTGGAGAAGGAAGAGGAATTAACTGGGTGATGGAGGCTTTCCAGGCCAAGGGGATCCTGAGATTGGAAGGGCACAACAGTAGTTAAGGAGCTGAGAGAATGGCAGTGTAGCTGTGTAAAGAGAATGGTGAGCTGTGGGAGGCTGGCAGGCAAGGGCCAGCCAGGGGTTTACCCATCTGATCAACAATGGAAATGGATTTTAAATAAGGAAGTGTCATGATCAAATTTGTACTTTAAGATCACTTGCTCTATTTTAGAAAATGGTTTGCGGAAGGGGAGCAATAGTGGATGTAAGGAGACCCAATTCTGAAGTTCTTGGAGAGGAAAGGTGACAGGAGCTTGACTGGAATTGTGGCCCTGGAAATGGTACACCACTTGGAGGTGACTGACTTGTATAGAGGGGTAGAGGGGAAATGTCAGGCTAGAGTCCCAGATTTCTGGCCAGCACAACAAGCAAAGAGACTGGTAGAGAGGCAGGCTAACACTTTGAATTTGCTCTATCCAAAAAGAAGTGTTGAATATGATGTTGTATATATTGATCTTAAGCTCAGGGGAAAGTTTTGCTCTAGAGATACAAATTTGAGCTTCATTGGCATATAATATTGTGTTTGAAACCATGGATGAGCTTTCTTAGGAGGAGCAATAAGAACAAAGGGTCTCGGACCAAGGTTGAGGAAATCCAGGATTTATGTATCAGATAAAGCAGGATAGCAAGGTCAGAGCATTATCTCAAAAGCTGAAAGAGGAGTGTGTTTCAAGGAGGGGAAGAGATTAATTAATTAATTAATTAATTAATGTCAGATGTTGATGAAAAATAGCCAGAGAATTTAGTAACGTGGAGATAGGTCATTGGTCATCTGTAATGTAGTAGTTGAGGACTGCATATGAGCCAAGGAACTGCAGACTGTAAAGATTGGCCCCTCAACAAAACTGGCTAGAAAGGTCAGTCTTGGGAGTTCTTCACTTTGAGGGGTAGATTGTAAAAGAGTAATAGAAGAGTTCTTTAAGTAGGGAGAAATATGTTTACATGATAATGGAGAAAGCCCAGGATAGAGAATCAAATGTACAAAATTCTCAGGAGGCCATTAAGGGGTAGAATATGGAATACAGATGTGGGAGGAGAGGTTTGGGCATTAGATAAAAGGACAGTTTCATATAATGCAGCTTTAAAAACTTTTTTGTGTGTCTGTTAGAGTAAAAGTTTATTCAAATGTTCACATTGACATCATTTGTCACCTGAGAATTAATGTGTAGGCACTTGGTTTTGCAAAACTAATGTAAAGTGATTCACATGTCTGTATGTATTGAGTCTTTGCACACTTGTTTTCCTTTTATGATTATTATAATGAAGATCAGTGGTTTATTCAGTCAAGTAAGATTCAAAAATCAGTTGAACAATTAAAGTTGTGTTTGCTCTCATTGTTTTTAGGCCTCTCATCTGTAAATTTGTATTAGCTCTTTTTCATCACATATATTTAGCACTGGGTTAAACGTCAGAAATTTCCATATTTTGGGGGAAGACATCTGAGAATCAGTCATTTGATTTGAGGCCATCCTTTCTATCTATATCTAGTAGATTTTTAAAAATCAGAAATATTTTTACATACCTTTGTAAATCTTAATCATTATAAATTATTTTTAACTGTGCACATTTTCAGGTGCAAACTATAAGAGAAACACATTCTTTCTTGTTTAAAATGTTTTAAAAATGATTTGTCTTCAAAATACATTGCTGGCACAGGTTATAAATGAAAATAATAGCCCTATTACATACAGAATGGGGACCTCAGGTTAAATGATTTCTTCTGGAGTGGTGTTGAGGTGTCACCTAAGAGTTACAGTAACAATGAGAGAAAGAAATCTTAGTTTGCTGTCAGGCCAAGTTTACACATTAGGCTTTCACTGGTAAATGGAATTGAAGAACCTGGGAACAGCAAAGAGGAAACTCCTGTGCCAACTCCATGTTGAAACTCCACATGTCTTAGTAGTTATGATCTCTGATTACTTCAGCAACCATGGGGAGATAGAGTTATAGTCTGCATTTATTCATTGCTAATAAATAGTTGACTAGTTTATTTTGCTTATTTTCTGTCTAGCAAATAGATGTGAAAGCTCCTCTAGGATGAAAGTTCCTTTAAGTCAGGTGTTTCTGTTTACAAGGCACTGAAATAAATACATGTTTAATGAATTATGAGTTTATTTGAGAAGATGTCATGTGCACCTGTGTAGTATTCTAGGGCATGGCTCTATAAGCGGAGAAGTTAGCTTACCCCACATGGGTAAAAATTAGCCACGTTTGCACCAAGTAAGTACCAAGGTAATCTGGGCTACCTGTTTCTAAGGAATTATGGTATCTGGGAAATTTACATGTAAAGCCTTGATAGATATCTCCTTTTTTGTCCTCTTGAAATTTTTTTCTTAAAAAGAAAAGCCTCAGAATATATTTGTTGGCTTTTCTAATTTCAAGTGCTATGTATGTAATCCTTCTCATAAAAATTCAGACATCATAAAAATTATTATCATAAATGGCTAAATCTCCCGAAATGCCGACTTACATTCAGGAGATATGCTCTGTTGACATCCACACTGTCTTTGTTGAACACATGGCTTTTGTGCATTTCCCTCAAGAGCCAATGCAGAGTCAATAGCTTTCATACCAGCAGCAGAAATGGCACAGTGGTTTTCTCTAAACACAACACACTGCTTTTAGCTTAATTTATTTTATCCAAAAAAATTATCTTTTATTCTCAGAATTCATGATAAGTGATAGAGCTTAAGAACTTGTATCTTTCAAAAGCATTATAGGGTGTTCTAAGGAAATTGTATTTGGGTGGAGGAGTACTAATGGCTATATTTACTTTGTGCATATTAGGCATAAGAGATTGGTTTTTATGTACCCTTGTTTTATAAGGATGAATGATTTGAGTTCATTTTAATACCTTATATTTACCAGCTTATTTCTTCTTTACCAAATATTCAGATATTTATATGTAGTTAAGATAAATCAACAATGAGGTGTACAGACTTTTGCCTTGTTATACAAGTCATTTTTATCACCTCACTTTATATTTCATTGAAAGCAGCAAACCAAATCCCAACCAAATATCTGCCAGCAATGGCAAACCTGGTGCTGTGAATGGAGCCGTGGGGACCACATTCCAGCCACAGAATCCCCTCTTAGGACGAGCCTGTGAGAGCTGCTATGGTAAGTTTTCTCCAGCAGGGCTTTCTTCTCTCCTTTGAGGCCTGTGATGAGGTTTGTGGCACTGTGCTGGCACTGCTGGGTGGGAGGTGTTGAGCAGCCCTCTCAAGGTACCTATGGCACACTGCTTTGAGAGCGGGATGATGTAGCCTTAGGTGAGTAAGATGTCCACCCTTCCCTTCGACTTGGACACTGCATTTTAGTCTTGGGTTTTCTCTGCTTCGCTTCTTTGAAAAAGGCTTCAGTAAAAAAAAAAAGAAAAGAAAAGAAAAGAGAAAGAGAAAGAGAGAAAAGGCTCCAAAAACTTCTGTCAGAAAGACCTATGTGTGGATGAAGTGCCATTTATGATCCTCAGACCAGCTTCCATCAAAGTGCACCAGTTTGGGAGAACTTGTTCTACCATGTTTGTGTTTGCCTTTTCTTTCAGCAAGTATCATTATCAGTATCTGTCCATGTCAAAAACCTATAAGACATGGGCAGCATTACATTGTATTTGACTTGGATGTTAAATTGGTTTGGTGAGATGATGTAATTGATATATTTTTTTTAAAGGATTTTATTTATTTGAGAGAGCATGCATGCACATGCAAGCAGAGATGGGGGATGGAGCATCTTAAGCAGGCTCTACGCCCAATACACAACCCTATGCGGGACTTGATTTCACCACCTTGAGATCAGGACCTGAACCAAAATCAAGAGTCATTTAACCAACTGAACCACCCAAGCGCCCCATACATTTAAAAAAAAAAAAAAATCTTGCTCTTTTATTGTCTCTCTTTAACTTTTCTTTCCCCACTTTTTTTTTAAGATTTTATTTCTTAGCCAAAAAAAAAAAAAAAAGATTTTATTTCTTAAGAAATCCCTACATTCAAACTCACAATCCCTAGATGAAGAGTCTCACACTGTACCAACTGAGCCAGCCAGGCACCCCTCACTTTTTATATTTTTATACTTATTTAAAATCTCAAACAATGGCATAATCTGTTCATAGACATCAATGACATTATTATCTATGTTTCCTTACAATCAAAGTGGCCTGGGGTGGGGAAGAGAAGGAAACTGATTTTTATTGAAAGTCTACTTGGGGGGAGGGGCAAGATGGCGGAAGAGCAGGGTCCCCAAATCACCTGTCCCCACCAAGTTACCTGAAAGTCTACTTGGTGCCCAATTTTTGTCTCTCAACAGCTCTTTGGAGGGATAGATGTAGCTTACTGCCCTAAGGGCATGGGGATGAGGGACGTGACAGCCTTTGCTTCATATTCACACCAAGCTTCAGCATTAGAAAAGACTTTTAAAAAGTTTTATTTTTTTAAGTTAATCTCTATATCCAGCATGGGGGTTGAACTCATACCCCCAAGATCAAGAGCTGCATGCTCTACTAACTGAAGCCAGACACCCCTAGAAAAGACTTTTATTTTTTTTATTATTTTTTTATTTTTTATAAATTAATTTTTATTGGTGTTCAATTTACCAACATACAGAATAACACCCAGTGCTCATCCCGTCAAGTGTCCCCCTCAGTGCCCGTCACCCATTCCCCCACCCCCGCCCTCTTCCCCCTCCACCACCCCTAGTTCATTTCCCAGAGTTAGAAGTCTTTATGTTCTGTCTCCCTTTCTGATATTTCTCACACATTTCTTCTCCCTTCCCTTATATTCCCTTTCACTATTATTCATATTCCCCAAATGAATGAGAACATACACTGTTTGTCCTTCTCCGGTTACTGTGGCCAAGTTCAAAAAGGGTGTTGCCTGAGTTCTCCTCTAGGATTTTGATGGAATCTTGTCTCACATTTAGATCTTTCATCCATTTTGAATTTATCTTTGTGTATGGTGCAAGAGAGTGGTCCAGTTTCATTCTTCTGCATGTGGATGTCCAATTTTCCCAGCACCATTTATTGAAGAGACTGTCTTTCTTCCAGTGGATCGTCTTTCCTCCTTTATCGAATATTAGTTGACCATAAAGTTCAGGGTCCACTTCTGGGTTCTCTATTCTGTTCCATTGATCTATGTGTCTGTTTTTGTGCCAGTACCACACTGTCTTGATGACCACAGCTTTATAGTACAACCTGAAATCTGGCATTGTGATGCCCCCAGATATGGTTTTCTTTTTTAAAATTCCCCTGGCTGTTCGGGGTCTTTTCTGATTCCACACAAATCTTAAAATAATTTGTTCTAAGTCTCTGAAGAAAGTCCATGGTATTTTGATAGGGATTGCATGAAACGTGTAAATTGCCCTGGGTAACATTGACATTTTCACAATATTAATTCTGCCAATCCATGAGCATGGAATATTTTTCCATCTCTTTGTGTCTTCCTCAATTTCTTTCAGAAGTGTTCTATAGTTTTTAGGGTATATTTTGAGAACCATTTGAATGGTAAATGGTTCTCCAACCTTTTATTTTCAGGTTGTAGGTGTCCTTCTGTCTAAAATGAGTCTCTTGTAGACAGCAAATAGATGGGTCCTGCTTTTTTATCCAGTCTGAAACCCTGCGCCTTTTGATGGGGTCATTAAGCCCATTCACGTTCAGAGTTACTATTGACAGATATGAGTTTAGTGTCATCATGATATCTATTTAGTCCTTGTTTTTGTGGATTGTTCCACTGAACTTCTTCTTAAAGGGGAATTTTAAGAGTCCCCCTTAAAATTTCTTGCAGAGCTGGTTTGGAGGTCACATATTCTTTCAGTTCCTGCCTGTCTCGGAAGCTCTTTATCTCTCCTTCCATTTTGAATGAGAGCCTTGCTGGATAAAGTATTCTTGGTTGCATGTTCTTCTCATTTAGGACCCTGAATATATCCTGCCAGCCCTTTCTGGCCTGCCAGGTCTCTGTGGAGAGGTCTGCTGTTACCCTAATATTCCTCCCCATGAAAGTCAGGGACTTCTTGTCTCTTGCTGCTTTAAGGATCTTCTCTTTATCTTTGGAATTTGCAAGCTTCACTATTAAATGTCGAGGTGTTGAACGGTTTTTATTGATTTTAGGGGGGGATCTCTCTATTTCCTGGATCTGAATGCCTGTTTCCCTTCCCAGATTGGGAAAGTTTTCAGCTAGGATTTGTTCAAATACATATTCTGGCCCTCTGGCCCTTTCGGCGCCCTCGGGAACCCCAATTAAACGTAGGTTTTTCTTCCTTAGGCTGTCATTAATTTCCCTTAATCTGTCTTCATGGTCCTTTAATTGTTTATCTCTTTTTTCCTCAGTTTCCCTCTTTGCCATTAACTTGTCTTCTATGTCACTCACTCGTTCTTCCACCTCATTAACCCTCGTCGTTAGGACTTCTAGTTTGGATTGCATCTCATTCAGTTGATTTTTAATTTCTGCCTGATTGGATCTAAATTCTGCAGTCATAAAGTCTCGTGAGTCCTTAATGCTTTTTTCTAGAGCCACCAGTAGCTGTATAATAGTGCTTCTGAATTGGCTTTCTGACATTGAATTGTAATCCAGATTTTGTAACTCTGTGGGAAAGAGGGCTGTTTCTGATTCTTTCTTTTGAGGTGAGGTTTTCCTTCTAGTCATTTTGCTCAGTGCAGAGTGGCCAAAAACAAGTTGTATTGGAACACGGGGGAGTATCACTTAGAAAAGACTTTTAAAACCAGGTGACATAGGGGTGACTGGGTGGCTCAGTAGGTTAGGTGTCTGACTTGATTTCGGCTCAGGTCATGATGATGGGGTTGTGAGATGGAACCCCATGTTGGGTGTGGACTCTGCTTAAGGTTCTCTCTCCCTCGGCCCCCTCCCTGCTCATATTCTTTCTCTAAGAAAACAAAACAAAACAAACAGATCATATAATTATCTTACCTGAAACTAAGGAAAGTATGATCCAGACAAATTGCTGACTTCATAGAAATGGTATGTTTCTAACCATTTTTCTGCACCATGGAAGCATAAAGGAAAATAATTTATGGAAAATTAGATTCTTTTGGTCATAATTTTATATATATTGCATTATGAATGTCTTTTTTTTTAATTTAAAGATTTTATTTATTCATGAGAGACAGAGAGAGAGAGAGAGAGAGGCAGAAACAGAGACACAGGCAGAAGGAGAAGCAGGCTCCATGCAGAGAGCGTGATGTGGGACTCAATCCCGGCACTCGAGGATCACACCCTGAGCCGGAGGCAGGCGCTAAACTGCTGAGCCACCCAGGGATCCCCATGGATGCCTTTGAATTGGAAACTCTTAGACACTGAAGTTTATTTGTATTTAAGTGAAAATAAAATTAATCCTACAGACAAGTGGTGGCTTAATCTATCTTATTTTTGACATACCCCGTTAACACATATGTAGTCTTACATATCCCTTTATATAATTGTCATTTTTATGTGTATGACAAATAAGTGATTTTTATTTTATAATACTTATTTTAGACTCAATATCATAAAATGTATCTCTTATTATAACATGATGTAAGATTTATCATTAGGGGTGCCTGGGTGACGTCTGCCTTTGGCTTAGGGCATGATTCCAGGGTCCTAGGATCGAGCCCATATCAGCTCCCTGCTCAGTGGGGAGTCTGCTTCCACTTCCCCCTATCCCTCTACCTCCTGCTCCCCGGCTTATGCTCTTTCTCTGTCAAATCAATAAATAAAATCTTTTTTTAAAAAGATTTATCTTTATAGAGAGATAGAAGTTGGTGTTTTCTTTTTTGTCACTTTTTAAAAAAGATTTTATATATTTATTTCAGAGAGAGAGCACACAGGGCAGCAGGGCAGAGGGAGATGGGGAGAGAGAATCTCAAGCAGCCTCCTTAGCCTGATGCAGGGCTCAGTCTGAGATCATGACCTGAGCTGAAATCAAGACTCAGACACTCAACTGAGCCACCCAGGCACCCCTGTCACTTTTTAATTGCATTTGAGTTAATTTTGTAAGGGGAATGATGTTTGTTGACAAATATTAAAATGACATGTCATGACTAACTTGAGTAAAAATGTATACTTAAATATGAGTGAAATTTTATTTTTTTTTCAAAGATTTTATTTATGCATGAGAGACACAGAGATTGAGACAGAGACACAGGCAAAGGGAGAAGCAGGCTCCATGCAGGAAGCTCAATGTGGAACTCGATCCCGGATTCCAGGATCATGCCCCAGGCCAAAGGCAGATGCTCAGCTGCTGAGCCACCTAGGAATCCCATGAGTGAAATTTTAGTCAGAATCCAAACTAGGTCCATGCCTAATACTTAAGATTCTTAAAATTTGTGTTTAAAAAAAATCAACTTATTTGACTTACTGTTTTAAATTATAAGAGGAGGGGATCCCTGGGTGGTGCAGCGGTTTAGCGCCTGCCTTTGGCCCAGGGCGTGATCCTGGAGACCCGGGATCGAATCCCACGTCGGGCTCCTGGTGCATGGAGCCTGCTTCTCCCTCTGCCCGTGTCTCTGCCTCTCTCTCTCTCTGTGACTACCATAAATAAATAAAAATTTTAAAAAAAATCTAAATTATAAGAGGAAAGTTTTGGGGGCTACTGTTAGCAAGGAGTCTACCAAAAATAATACACAATGGGTGCACAGTATTATTCTCAAACTAAGATGCAGTTTGATTATAATGGCCAGTATATTTTCTCTTTTTGACATTGGCTTGTGAAGTGTTAGTTGATACCTTGATGTGCTCTTTGAACACTTTGACCTGACGAAGTTAACTTATAAATCAGGGGGAAGAGTATTCCAAGGGAAATATACAGATTATAATAATTTATACATACCTCATTAACTTAATGTTTCATGCCATCGTTTCCTATCTTTTTTTTTTTTTCATCGTTTCCTATCTGAAACTTCAGATCCATTGTAGGAAAACTTTAAATGCAATATGGGAGCAATTAAAACTGCAGCAAAACTGATGAAGGCTTGCAGTGTTAAGTGGTAAATCAGCCAAGTTATTAGGTCTTAAGCCTTTTGTGATCTTGGCTGCATATGCTCCCTTGATCTGGACTTAAATAGTCTTGAAAGGGATTCTGTTTTTAAAGGGAAAAATACTAAAATGATTATACTTTGTTCATTTATCTATTTCTGACAGATTCCTACCTTAATCAGTGGGGCCTCTCTGAGCACCTTAATCTCTGGGGTAGTTTCTGGACCATCAATTTAGAGACTTAGACTTGGACTTTAAACAGTAATATAATAATAATAATACCTTTCTGGGGCAGCCCGGGTGGCTCAGTGGTTTAGCGCTGCCTTCAGCCCAGGGCATGATCCTGGAGTCTTGGGATCGGGTCCGGCATCGGGCTTCCTGCATGGGGCCTGCTTCTCCCTCTGCCTGTGTCTCTGCCTCTCTCTTTCTCTCTCTCTCATGAATAAATAAATAAAATTTAAAAAAAAAAAAACCTTTCTGATAACTTATTTACAGAAATGTACACAATAGGGGGTATTTTTAATGAACAAAACTCCCTCAGTAATAGCACAGAATATTATACAAGATACTTCATCTAATAGCTTCTCTTAACAGGAGCCACAGGTTCGCTTTCTTGCTCTCTCGTTCACTATGAGAGAGAGAAAAATGGTTTAATGAATCCTGCATCTTGAAAATACATGTAAATTAGACTTTTATGTTTGGTGAACTGCAGAAAGAAAAATAACATTGTAAACTAAAGATTACTTTGGAATATCTTTAAAATATTTGATGGTATATGTATTGATGTTACAAATTATATAACACTTTGTCTTTTCATATTTTTCCTCTGTCTTTAGCTACACAGTCTCATCAGTGGTATTCTTGGGGCCCACCTAATATGCAGTGTAGATTGTGTGCAACCTGTTGGCTCTACTGGAAAAAATATGGAGGCCTGAAAATGCCCACCCAGTCGGAAGAAGAGAAATTATCTCCTAGCCCAACTACAGAGGTATATGAGCAATAGTCTTTGATGTTGAGAAATGTCATTTTAATGGCTTGGTCACTCCTTGGAAACAGAAGTACAGTACAGGATAACTTAAAAGCAAAAAATAAAAGCAAACAAAGCTGTTTTTTTATAACTAAACATAGCACCATAATATTTAAGGTGGGTGTGGAGAGAGGGCAGGGACAAATCAAATTTTTTCAGGTATTCAAAATATTGTTCTTGTGTGATTGTTCAGACAAAAGAACAATATGTGTGGGAAGTGTTAACATAAGTAGAGAGCTTACAAATTAAATGATTTCATTGCTTTTTGGGAAACAGTTTGCAACCTTTTAATACTGTAAAAATATGCCTTACTACATAAAGTAATAAACATAAACTGAACATTTTTCTGTCCCTGAGCTATCATAGGAGGAACAAGAAGGTGATATGGACTCAATCTTGAGATAAACAGTTGAAATAGGATTTTGGTAAAATTCTCAGATTGCAGATATAAGCACCTGTGTCGACCAGAGGGAGACTTCTTTTTAAGGGCTAACAGGATCTCAGGACTCCTACACTATTAAAAAATAAGATAATTTCATTAACCCCCTTGGCATTTTTTTAAAATGTGATTTTGGATTCTTAAGGTCAATGTCCATTTAAAAACCAAAGCATAGGAAGGAGTGCACTTGTGATGAGCACAGGGTGGTGATGGATGGAAGTATTGAGTTACTATATTGTATACCTGAAACTAGTATAACACTGTATGTTAACTACCTGGAAGTAAAATAAAAACTTTGAAAAACAAAAATATAGGATCACACATCCTCCTACCCCTACACAGTTACCTTCTCTACTCCCCTACCCTCTTTCCGAAAGTGCATACTTCTAATTTCTTCTTTGGGAGTAGGGTATTAACTTCTAGATGCTTCAGTGGAAAACTTAAAAATTGCCTTTTCTTTGAGCCTGATACAAATAGCATTCTTTTCTTTACATGTCTGTTGGTATCTGATTTTGCAGGACCCCCGTGTTAGGAGTCACATGTCTCGCCAGGCCATGCAGGGGATGCCAGTCCGAAACACTGGGAGCCCAAAGTCTGCAGTGAAGACCCGTCAAGCTTTCTTCCTCCACACTACATATTTCACAAAATTTGCTCGTCAGGTCTGCAAAAATACCCTCCGGCTGCGGCAGGCAGCAAGACGGCCGTTTGTTCCTATTAATTATGCTGCCATTAGGGCAGAATGTAAGATGCTTTTAAATTCTTAACCTTACGTGTTGTGCTTCTGACCATTTTCTCTCCTTCCCTTTCTTTTTTGTTTTGTTTTTTTTTGTTTTGTTTTTGTTTGCAATAAACATAAGTTCTTGTGTACAGCCTTTTATTTGGTTTATTTTTTTTTAACATTGTTTTTGTCTGCTGCCATTTGTATCATGCCAGCCTGAAAAGGAAACACTGGAACCTCTGCAGCCCCTCTGCAGAGAGCATAGTACTCAGCAGAGAATTGGTGGGAGGCGCCCTTATTCAGAGAGGTCTTGTAATGGGACTGCCCAAGAACCCTTATGGGAAGGAACTTTCACCTGTAAGGTCGTGCCGAGATGTAACCCCTAAGGATGGTGTCACAGTGAAGCCCCATAGATGAGACATTCAATCTGCTCTTACGTGCCTTCATTAGGTTTGAATAAAATTTGCCAATTTACACTAATTAGAAATTGCATGTCTTTGTAAACCTCTCATTTTCCCATGAACCTTTTATAATTCTACAATACTATGGAAATTCACAGTGCTTCATAACAAACACTACAGTAACTGGAAAATGGAGCAAATTATAAATGGATTTTAGTGTCTTTGGGTGAATTTTCTGAAAATACATATTTAGTTCTTACAGGCTAATGACCAAATTTATGGTTGAGCATTCTTTCTATTTGTCCAATTTGGTTTCCATTTCATTATCATACATATATTACCATATAACATATAATTATTATTCTCATTTTCAACATGTTCAGTCTTGGCTTATGTGTCATTTTTTGTTGTTGTTGTTAGAACAAAGGTCATATGTATCAGTGAATTGTGGGTTGTTCTGTTATTACTATGTACCCTTAAAATGTGTCCATACTTTGTGTGCCAGCTCTGATTCTAGTCTTGCTACATTTAGTCACACCCCTGACTGCCTTGTTAGAGCCATGCAACTTTCTCCCCTAAAGGAGAAAACTTGCTGTCTGGCTTAACAGAGAGGAAATCTTATAGACATTTAGTAGATGCTTTTTCTTTGTGAGAAAAGAAATTTTGCGTTATGAGATGTTCCATTTTGATTTAAGAAGGGTATCTCTATAAGGAGTGATGATTGAAAACTTTTTGTTCCTAAAGATAATTTCAGCAAAACGGCTTGAAAGGCTTTACAACTTACAGGTAAAAGCTTTATAAGGAGAAGAAAAGTGCTTTGTAGAGAGAGAGTGCAAAATGGCAGTACTTTCTGAGTCTCACAGAGGAGGGACTCCATTAGATTCATGTATATTTGGAACTTAGGCTTATACTGATTATTTCATGCTAACGCTTCTGAGTTCATGGATTTATGCTATCATTTTCTTAACCATTTTAAGGAACTGGAAAATATTTGCATTCATCTAAACTGCTTAGCCAATTTAAAACACATTTATATAGTTTCTTAACTAAACAGGATAATAAAACACATGAGAAAGAGAGTGAAAGAAATTCTTCCATTGAAATTGGCCAGGATCCAATATCATCTTTGTTCCTATGAATGGAAAAGAAATCATCACCAACTAAATTGGCAGCTGAGGAAGCTTCTGTTTCCCATAGCTCTTCTGTTAGTTTCTCAGTTAATATGCAAATTGCCTTTATTTTTATTATTCTTCAATGAGGTATATTTTTATGTTACCATTTTATGTATTATTCCTCAATTGAAGGGTCATGCTGCTAAAAATAAGCAGGGGAGGTCAAAGTTAAATTACACGTGTTTTATTTCTATAAACAAATAGCTATGATAATAAAAAGACTCATTTGTTGTAAGATTCAAGAAGCATATTTTACTTTGCATTTCGCTTCTTTGGTCAAGTTACATAATAGAATCAATTTCTTTTTTTTTTTTTTAAGATTTTATATATATATTCATGAGAGAGACAGGCAGAGAGAGAAGCAAGCTCCATGCAGGGAGCCCAATGTAGGACTTGATCCTGGGACTCCAGGATCACGCCCTGGGCCAAAGGCAAACGCTCTACCACTGAGCCACCCAGGCGTCCCTAGAATCAAATTCTCAAAATAATTTTACCTCAAAATTTAAAATTACAAAGTTTCAAAACAAAGTTTTAGGGCAGCCCGGGTGGCTCAGCGGTTTAGCACCACCTTCAGCCCAGGGCATGATCCTGGAGACCGGAATTGAGTCCCATGTCAGGCTCCCTGCATGGAGCCTGCTTCTCCCTCTGCCTGTGTCTCTGCCTCTCTCTCTGTGTCTCTCATGAATAAATAAATAAAATCTTAAAAAAAAAAATTACAAAGTTTCAGCAGCCATCTACTGGTTTGTCTGTTTTTTTTTTTTTTCCAGATAAGCAACTAATGAACTCTTCTAGCATCTAATTGATTCTTACATCATCTCCCTTCTTATATGTACTTTGTTACAATCTCTTCATCAGATCCCTTGATCTTGGCTTGTTATGGAGAAGATGAGTTGTTAATAACTTGATGTCTATAGGCAACCATGTCTATGGTCCAGTGGGAATGTATAGGTGTATTTTTTTTTGTAAGCTTTCCTTGGTTTCTCAAGGGCAGTGGTGACCCCCATCCCTCAAAAAAGTTTATCCCTATGATGCAGTATGAATGTAATTTCAGATCAGATGAAAGTCTGTAATTCCAAAGAAATTGATGGATCAAGAGCTTTAATTGATGCATTTTAGAATAATTCTTCATAATATTCAGAAAGGTAAATAGTTTTCCCTGTGAACTTGGAAGTTCTAAGCACTATAGAAACTGACCCCTTCCATGACTTCTGGCCTTGGCAGCACCATCACAACCAGTGTGCTAACCAGAGCTCATGGGGTGACAGACTGCCTGAGAGCAAGGGGAAGAACTAAGGAGATAAAAGTCTCAGATGGTGCAGAGCATAATGGTGACTATGAGGACTTGGCTTAGAAGTCGATCCTTTCAGAGGACATATTTCGGGGTTTGTTACAACAGCACTCTCTGGCCTTTATTTTATTTTATTTTCATTAAGAAAATGGTATTGAAACAGTAGAGTGAAAAGGGGGAATCTTTGTATATCCATAAAGTATTACAGAGAAAATATAAGAACTAATAACATCTATGGGAAGGGAAACTGGAAGGCTAAAGCAAAGGGATGGGAAGGAGACTTCCACCTGTTTTTATTTTTTTTAAGATTTTATTTATCCATTCATGATAGACAGAGAGAGAGAGAGAGAGGCAGAGACACAGGCAGAGGGAGAAGCAGGCTCCATGCTGGGAGCCCGACGCGGGACTCGATCCTGGGATTCCAGGATTGCGCCCTGGGCCAAAGGCAGGCGCCGAACCGCTGAGCCACCCAGGGATCCCCTTCCACCTGGTTTTAAACTTAAGATTTTGAGTTATGAGAATATATTTCCTATTTTAAAAAATAATTTAAAAAACTTAAGTATATAGTATGACCAATGTGTTTTAAAAATATTTATTTAAATATATGTATTTAAGATATATATGGTGATTTTTTAAAACCAAAGTTCCCCAAATGTCTACTTGCTTTAATAATAGGCCTTTATATGTAAATATATAAATCCACAACAAAAATTACTAACGTTAGTACAATGCCGAGCCAGTTCTATCACGTAGGTAGTGCATATTAAAAACATGGATTGATAAACCAATAACCAAAACATTGCAGAAAGAAAGGTATTGTGTCCTTGACAAAGTTTGCAGACCAACAGCATGGGTTGTCAAGTTTCAGACAGCATGTCTCTTTTTCTTGACACCTCTGCCCTTCAAGTAAAAAAGCCACTATGTGATAATGCTGTTCTTCCTTTGTTATTGCCATCAGACATGACCACTGAGCTACCTGATGACTTTATCAAACACCTGTAAGATTACCCAACACCTGATGAGCAAAGGGTTACTATTTGAGATTCAGAATCCTCAGAAACTGAGGTGAAGTAGAAGTGGTATATTAGCAGCATTTCATAGATGAAGCTAAAGTAATTGGAGAAGTGGATTCAAGTGACTGACCTGCCACCTTTGTAGCTTGCATGGGTGACTCGGTGGTTTCTCAGTTGATAATCAGATTTGAATGACCACCATTCCCTAGAATGAAGTTCCTCAAGAGGCACCTGGAACCACTTTTTTCTGTTTGAAGATGCTAATTCAGCTTTGCAGGTATCCCAAGGGCCTGCATTCAGAAGCCTTAAAATAGTTTTTCTAGAGATTTCTCAGCAAAAGTTAACTATAATAATTCTATAAAGTTGTATGAAATTTTAAGTTGTAATATTAGGTGAGAACAGTTTTGGTTTGTTTTGGTATTTTGGATATTTTTTAATAATTCACTTTTGAAAGGATACTTTAAATTTTTCTAAAGATACAAAAGTGGTTACAAATCTTATTGCCATTCCCATTTGTGTCATCTTCAGAGGTAACCATTGTCATTGTGTCTAAAGTATCCAGAGATATTCTGTGTGTGTATACCAGTCTAGGTGGGTGTATTTTTTTTTTCATTTTAATTCAGATGTTAATGTCCACATTGGTCTGCCACTTGCTTTCTTAACATTTTGGAGGCCATTCCATACTAGTACATTTTTTTTTTTTAAAGATTTGATTTATTTATTCATAGACACACAGAGAGGCAGAGACACTGGGAGAGGAAGAAGCAGGCTCCACGCAGGGAGCCTGATGCGGGACTCGATCCCGGGTCTCCAGGATCACACCCCAGCTGCAGGCGGTGCCAAACCACTGCGCCACCAGGGCTGCCCTCCATACTAGTACATTAAGAGCTACCACCTTTTCTTATCAGCTGCATAATAATCTGTTTTGTACAGATTATTTTGGTTAAACAGATTAAACAGATTTTTTTGGTTATTTCCAATCTTTCCTATTATAAGTAATATTGCAACAAATATCCTTGTACAGATAGCCTTTCTTACGATGTGTGAAATGTGTGAGTAGGTCACAGGACAGACCACTAAAAGTAAAGCATCTGAGTCAAGGAACATGCGTTTGGAAATTTAATAGTCATTACCTATTACCTTTAGAAAACCACAATTTAAAAAAAAAAGAAAATGAAAACCTCAATTTATGCTCCTGTCCACAACGTCCAGAGAATGCCTGCCTCTCTAGAACCTTGGCAGCAGTGTTAACCATCTTTGAAACCTTGACTAGTTGACAGGTAGTAACATATAAGTTATATTAGTTTGCATTTCTTGTTTTGAATGAGATAGAAATCTTTGCATATATTTGAAAACAATTTGTTTTTCCCTTTCTGTCAGCTGTTTTTGCCCCTGGCCTGTTTTCTGTTAGAAGTCTTACTTCTGAGAACTTTTAATATTTTAAGGAAATTAGCTTTTGATCTGTGTGATACATGGTGCGAATATTTCCCCTATTTTGCCTTTATGATGTATTTGTCAAGCAGATTTTTTAAAAACATAGTTGAATTTGTCAGTTTTTTGAAAGATTTGTTTATTTTAGAGAGAGGGAGAGAGAATCTCAAGCAGACCCCCTGCTGAGCATGGAACCCAACACAGGGCTGGATCCCAGGACCCTGAGATCATGACCTGAGCTGAAACCAAGAGTCGGATGCTTAACTGACTGGGCCACTCAAGCGCTCCTGTGATTTTTTTTTTTTTTTTTTTTTACGGCACCTGGGTTTTGTGTCTTTAGAAATGTCTTTGCAATTCCTATAAGAAAATTGTACGGATGGTTCTATTTTGACAGCAATCTTGGAAGCCCGTGTGAATGTTTTTGTGAATTTTAATTCAGTGTGTACTTTTTGCAGTTTTTCTGTTTTATTCCCACATACACATATTTCCAAAACATTTTAGGAAAATGGCTGTGAGTTGCAATAAAAGAAACAGTGTTTTTCCAGGTTTACCTCAAGGAGTTGTACTCTAGGAAGCCAAAGAAGTGCGCCTGTGTGCAGTCAACTGACTTGGGTGAGATGCACACCCAAGTGTGCCCTTTCTGGGCAGATTTTGATTCCTTATGGGTTCTGTGGCATCTCTCAGGTTGCTTGCCTTATCTGTGCACATCTAATGCATACTAGTGAATTATCTCTGTTTAAATAGAGTCAGGTGAATAAGAACCAGGACTAACTGACAAGAGGCACCACTGGCCTGTTCTTGAGTGCAGACCAAGATTCTGTTTAACCAACTCAAGTGTGGACCTGATAATCCTATATCTATGATCATTCCCCCAGGGCAGAATGTATTTTTCCCATGCGTATCCAGTGTATGTCATTGAATAGATGTAATATTCATATGAAACAGTGACTAGTAGGCTTAGCACTTTCTGTCCTAATTTCCTCATAGCGGAGACTAATAATTCTTGCTACCAGCTACTTTAAAGTGTAATGCGGATTAACGATGCTCATAAAGAGCTTTTATCTCCCACTCAGGTGCTCTTTAAATTGTACCTGGAACATCACATAATTAATGCTACTGATTTGATGAAAATTCAAAAGCGGTTTAGTGTAGTTTTAAGATGAAACATCTTTAGGTATTGTGTTGGTGGCCCCTTTGATAGGCTGTTTGTTTTGTTGATTCTTGTACAGGCAATAGTCCTATGAGAGTCCACAATGATAGTTTCCTTTGGGCCTTATCAACTGGAATAAAGTGTGAAGTTAATCTTATTACTAGTAATACAATGGTTGCCATTGTCCAGAACATTGAGGAAATGTTCTGGTATGGATGAGCTGATTCATTCAAGATTTCTTTCGCTAATAGGATAAAATTTTTTCTTATCCTCATCCCAAGTAGAACTTGAATTTTAGGTGAACTAGTAATATGAGGACGGAAGTCTCTAGTATTCACTCACAGTGATTTGATCTCTGCAAGGTTTGTGTTGCTTTTTAATGTTTATTTAGATTACTCCTCCAAAATATGCTTGGTATACTTAGTCCTTTATCTTCATTGCTATTCAACAACAGGTGAAAAACTTCATATATCAATAAATTTTCCCCCAAAGGAAATCAGCTGAGTAAGGAGGAAAAGAAATCAGATCATTTATAATCGTCCATGGTTGTCTAATAACCAGCCAGTGCTTGGGATACATATTCAAAATCCTATTATCGGAGGCTCTCTGCAGTATGTGCTTTATTTTAGATTTTTAAAATGCTATTTCCCCACCTCTTTCTGTTTAATAGTAAAATAGTTTGCTTGGTGAAAGAGAGGGCAAGAGCTAATGAAAAAGTTAATTTTTAATTTTAAATGATTTGCAGTTCCACAGTGAATTGTACGTTTTGACAGAGAAGTCCTGTGGATGTCAAAGGAAATTTCCTGTGTGTGCCTAGAAATGTGGTCTCAGCCATAGAAAACCTTTAGGACATTTTTGTCAAGTACTGGATAATGCAGAGAAGTCCTGTGGATGTCAAAGGAAATTTCCTGTGTGTGCCTAGAAATGTGGTCTCAGCCATAGAAAACCTTTAGGACATTTTTGTCAAGTACTGGAAGGTGGGGGAAAAGGCATACACGTAGCAAAATAATATCTGTTACAACTACTCTGTTAAATTTTATGCAAATTTAAAAAACAGTTCAATACAATTTTTTGTGTGTGGTCCCCTCAAACTCTGTTTTTGTAACTTAGCTTCTCAGTGTGAAAGCAGCCTTGTTCCACATCTATTCACCCATCCTAATGGCAACTAATTAAAATGCGGAGAGAGTGTGTGTTGTATGCTTTATTTTTCTCTGTCCAAAGTGTCTTATATAGTAGGGTATGAGGTGAGCTTGATAAATGAACACTAATAACCATTCCCACAGTATCTTCCTGTCCTAACAGATGAGGCACCCTGTCTGTACAGGCAACCTCTTAAAGCTCAACACTGCTGACATCATAGTAGGGTATGAAAGATGGAAAACTAGCAATAAAACCAATGACCCATTTTTAGCCCTGTGAGGCTCTCATCTAATGGAATTGAGTTTATTTTTATTTTTTTTAATGGAATTGAGTTTAATCAAGATAGATTAAGACTTCTCAGTGGAGACTTACTTCCTCTAGGTCAGGGGTGGCCAAGTGTGTTGCCTTTGTCAGCTTTGTCATTTTTGTGTTCTATGCCAGATTAATCTTAAATTAGGACTGTTTTCACCTCATCCTGCATGGACATTTTTTCTACTTTGAGGAAATAATGCCATGCCTAGAAAGGAAGCATATTTCCACTTTTTCAGATGGGCTCACACAGAAAGAAAGCACATACGTGTAAGACGTGTGTTAGCAGCACTCAGATGAGGCTTTAAGTGAGTGTTCTCCACGTACATCCTTCATTCAGTAATTTGGAACCAGAGCTAGAAACAGTTTCCTCCAACCCTACAGGAAATTATGCAGGAATCTGGTGGATATTTTGCACTGTCTTCCACTGGCACCTTTTTTTCTGCAGTGTGTATAGAATAGGTAGAGAAATCAGCCTCATTGGTTGTCTCCATGTTTCCTTCTCTCCTCAGATGCAGACAGACATGCCGAACTATCTGGAAGTCCACTGAAAAGCAAAAGCACTAGGAAACCTTTGGCATGTATCATTGGGTATTTAGGTGGGTATTTTCTTACAGAAGGAAAATTTCTTTTTTCTTTTTTTTTTTAAAGATTTTATTTATTTATTTATGAGAGAGACACACAAACACAGAGAGAGAGAGAGAGAGTGGGGGCGGGGGGAGGCAGAGACACAGGCAGAGGGAGAAGCAGGCTCCACACAGGGAGCCCGATGTGGGACTCGATCCCGGGTCTCCAGGATCACACCCTGGGCTGAAGGCGGCGCTAAACCCCTGAGCCACCCGGGCTGCCCACAGAAGGAAAATTTCAAAAAACAATCTCTGTACCTTATAAGTATTTGGCTATTCTAAATGGTCATACCTAAACTAAATCCAAGCCTTTCAAGTAGCTGAAATTGGATACTTTCATATGTATAGTCAATTTATTTTGTTTCAGAAGCTTTTGGGTTTTTTTTCAAAAGCTTTTATTTGTTATTACAAAACATATACACACAACATATATACAGGGTTATGGATATGTTTACTTTTTCCAAAAAAAATCATTAAATAAAAATATAACATTTGTGGATATAAATAGAGACTAAGCAAAAAGAGGAAAGAATCACTAAATTATTAGAGGTTGAATATTCTTAATGTTTCAATTTAGATCCTTCCACTTGGCTTATTTTTTTTAATGAGATCAAACGGGCTCTAACCTACCTTTAAAAAAATATTTATAGGTTTGATGTACCAATTAAAGTTACTTTGAAAGGGAAGCATTTGTATTGCTTTCTGATTTTTACCATGTTATTTAACTTAGAACTAGTCAAAGATGTTGGCTCCATATTTGTGTTGAAATATCACAATTAAGAAATAGTATTTTTAAAAATCAATAGGTAATAACCCTTTTTGTTTTGTTCTGTTTTGCAAAGTTTTAAGATAATTTACAAAATAATTATTTCTAAAATGGTTCCTAATATCCCTAGAAGCTATAATGGCATGTTTTTAGTGCTTCTAATATCCTTGCATTTTCATTTTCTCAGAGTGAAAGGTGTACTCAAAGTTGCATTGAACCTTATTGCTCTGTCAGAAAGATGTACAGTTATGAAGTGTTCAGACTCTAGAAACACTTAAAAGTCAAAGTGTAGCCTTGAATTAGTATATTATCTACTCCTCATCAGAGATTCCAAAAGTCAGAAGCTCATAGCTCCCTCTTTGATTTTACTTTGTCACTTTATTTCTTGTTTTATTTCTCAGAGCCTGAAGAGTTGTTTCAGTAGTCCCGAGAATATCACCTCATCATCATAGGCAGAACCTAGGTTATGGTGACCAAGTCCTTGAATTTTGCTATCTATTCCCTTGCAGAGCCTAATCCTAGAAGCCCCTTCCCTCCATGCATGGACAAGTCTCTGATCATAAGAAATAGAATATAACATTGCATATTAGCCAGTCTTTCTCTGGGTAATTTTGTGTTCCTCCTGTGGGCAAATTGGTCTCTGTACCTACCTGGGAGGCCCAAAGCTATGCTTTACTTACTAGCTGAACCACACCTCTACCTCACATATTTCTGAGTGTTTACTATGTATAAGACACTATGCTGAGTGATTTGGGGGAACATCAAGATGAATAAGACTTTGCCCTCAAAAGTTTTATTCTAGTGGGGAAAGCACACAGGTAAGGACAATTAAGCAAAGGATTAGCTCCTATGAAAGAATTACAGGTAATATTCATTGGACACTAGGAAGACGGAATAGTTATTTCTGATGAGATTTAGGGCAGCTACATGGAGAAAGCAGTGTTTGATCTCAACCTTGAACAATAAGTAGTATTTAAATAGAAAAACAGGAAAAAAGAATAGTAAAAAAAAAAAGGAAAAAAGAATAGTTTTCCCTTTATGAGGCCAAAAGAATTTTATGCACAAAAGCTTCAGTGAGTCCAAAGGTGGGTGGTCTGGTTTGGATGAATAGTGTGGAGGCTGTAATGAAAAATGGGATTAACAAAGTTTCAGTGCCGTGTTGGAAAAAAAAAATCAGCACTATATGTTGGTTAGCACTTGATCCATTCCTAAATTTTGATAAGCGTAGAATTTTGACCAGACCAAGATATAGTAATTCTAACAATCCTAACAGCCTTTCTTAAATTTCGAGAAATAAGGCTGATTGCCTGGCCCTCCCCTGAGAAGAGAGAGTTCTGGCTTAGAATCAGATAGCAGGTTTAATTTTGGAAAAGACATTGCCCAGTAAGAGTAACAGACTGAGATCCTTAAGTCCAATTCCTACAGACTGTAATTTCTGTCCGTCTGCTTTATCCAAAAAAGTACAAGTAATTCTGGGCTATATGACTGACAACAACATACTTCATGTAAACACACATATCCCACATGCACATCACAGTTTTGTGATATACCCTCCATCAAAGCTTTTCTTCTACTACATCTTGAGTCTAGAATTTGGAGTTTGGTGGCATGTTTCATCTATATCAAGATATTCTGGACTAGTAGTAATTAACCTTCATCCTGTACTCTCCTTGTAGAGTCAGAGAAGGAATCCTATTTTCCAGAAATCTCTCACACCTTAGACATGCTGCATGCTGCGTTTCCGGTTTGATAAAGCACAGAGTTAGCTTTCTCTGAGGCCATTTCTCCAGATAACCTTTAAATTTCTAAAACTTTGAAGAGTTAGTTGCTTAATTCCCTTAGTATATATGTGCTTAAGTGATCTTCTGAAGTGGAAGTGGTATTTTTGTTGTTGTTTTGTTGTTGCTTGTACTCCCAACATGAAGCTCAGAGCTCCAGCTAGCAGCGGGAGAAGCAAGCTCACTTTTGATAAGTAAAGCCATGGTAACAGCACTTGAAGCTGATTCATTATGCAAGTCCTTGGGAAAACAGACTGGCTCATAAGGAACGGACTCTCACCTCATTAAGAAGTAAGATGTGTGCCTATTAGGCGATGTAAGTGCACACAGAGATTTTTATTACCATGTCCTGAGTTGAGAAACCTTTTCTCCCCCTGCCAGAGATCCATCCTTCGAAGAAACCTAATGTAATTCGATCTACACCAAGCCTGCAAACCCCCACTACCAAGCGGATGCTAACCACCCCGAATCACACATCTCTGAGCATTTTGGGGAAAAGGAACTACAGTCATCACAATGGCCTGGATGGTATGTAAGCCCAGGAATTCTGGGGGCTGAGCTCATAGGCCAGGGCCTCTCTGCCCTTGTCTGCTCTAAGCATATCCTCTGCCAAATCCAAGATGTGTTGCAAATGGGTTCGTCTACCTACCCTCTAATTGAACTGAATGTGTGGTAAAGGGGTAAGAGGGAAGGCTGCTGTGTGCCACAGTGAAGACATTTAGCTGAGTGATATTTCTCTATCTCCTCAGAAGGGACTCTTGTTCACATTCCCTGTGAGGAGGCTTGTTTAGAGAGGAAGTCTGTATTTATCAGATTGACTCTGCTGGGTGATAATGTGCTTGCTGGGATGCATGCTCACTGCTCATTTACGTTTTCTTGAGCAGAAGTGTTGATTTCACCTTAAGTCAGAGGCAACTGTGATCTCTGGGGTTCTTGGGTGTTCTGTGGTTCATTTTGGATTTGGCACTTGTCAGCTACTTCTTTCACCTTATAAAAATTTTTTAATTGCTCAGAGTGCTACAAGTCATGAAGGGAATTGCCTGGGTGACGTCTTCAATACAGAAATAATAATTTGTTTGAAATGGAAAAGCTAAGAAATATCACCTCTTATCCAAAGTACCTCCCTTGGGGTTTGGCCACAGAATGACTCCTCAGGTGGAATTGAATTATCTTCCCATTCGGACTACAAACACAAACATAATAAATCATCCCAGCAGTATATATTGTCCATTTCAATAGTCCTAGAATTTGAAGCTGTCTTGATGGTTTAAATGTTGGCATTTATTTAGGAGTGAAGCTCTCTCCAGGCTTTCCATGTCTCTGGGACCTCTAAATTCCTTCAGTGACAGTAAATTGGTTATAATGAGGCCCTAGAGCAAGGATGTGAAATAGACCTTCTAGTAATAGTTTCCCATGGTTGGTTTCCTTTAGTATGACTTTTCATGGTCGTAGTGATATCAAAATGAATAAAAAATTGAGACTGAGGAGATTAGTTTGCATTTATAGGATATCGGTATGTTATAGATACAGCTTTCACGAATTTAGCTACACAGTAGTAGTTTTGCAGAAATAATTATTTGCTAATAAGGACATTGGCCATCCTTGCCACAATACACCCACTATCTAGACAGCAGAAGACTAAGGACGGATTGTGTCAAAATGTGGAGATTGGATTTCTTCCTTTCTTTCCTTGCCTACAGCCTGAGGCTTTTAGATTCAGATTTAAGTGGAATTCAGGAATCTTCCTTTTCCATGTTATCACCTCCCTGGCCTCTATAGGTGTGTATAGTCCTTCTGCAGGAAGCAGAAATTAAGTTCTGGTTCATACATATACACATATACGTACAATATACACTTCATGGTAAGAAGACTCTTATGGTGACTACAGGTGGAAAAGCAGCTCTCTGCTATCTTTTTCCATTTGTATCCTATGGTCCCAGTCACTCTGGGCCCCAATCCTAGCTCTCGCATTGCTCTTTCCTTTTATCATAGGTACCTGTCTCCTTAGAATTTCTAAAAAAAAATTCCACCTTATAGTGTTCCCTCTCTGGGGCTATTTGTCCCATTTTCCTCTGGAGATTGTTACAGCAAGGTGATTGCTTCTCTGCTCTGAACAGGTGAAATGGACAGGGCATACAGTGAATCCCTAGGGTTAAGAGAGACCTTCAACCTTGTTGAGGAAAAGACACCCATCTCATCTTCTGAAGAGACTTAGCTGTTGAAAACACCTTTTTTTTTTTTTCAAACCCTTTTGTCTTTGGTTTGCTCTTCCAGCTTTGGTATGGATAACATGTACCTTGCCTGTGTTATCTCATTTGATTCACATGACAGAAGGTTTTAGAAGGTCAGGGAATTTAACTGCTTTGCATAACATTGTATTCCTACTGCCTAGCATATTGTATTTCTACTTCCTGGAACTTAGTAGGTGCTTAATAAATGTTAATTGAATAAATGAATGATTGAGAAAAAATAAGACCTAGAGAGGAAAATTAAATTTTCCAAAGTTATCAAGTATAAATGGACTGGGATTCCCATTCAGGGTGTGGCTGATTATAGAGTTTGCTCCCTTAACCACGGTTATAAAAGTTGTCTCTCAAATATGCCGTATGAGTCAGTAAAGGACAAAGTGCCTAAGTTATTTTAGCAAATTTAATGTAAGAAGTCAATATGACAGGTATTGGAGGACAGAATAGGTGAGCAGGAACACAATGGGGGGCACAGGAAGCAGCTGCCATCCCTAAGGTTGGGAGAGCAAAAGAAAGAAGATGGGGTTCTTCCTTTTGCTGGAGGCTCAAGGAGGTCCACGTAGTGAGAACTGAGGCCCCTGAGGGAAGGCACTGTTCTGCTGGTGCTGGCTTCTCTCAGGTGTGACGAGGATAGTTCTGAGAGCATGAGGGAAAGCGGGAACTGAACAAACCTCAGGTGCCATGAGGCTGACTGGACCAGGACACAGGTGGTGGCAAGTGCCTTCTCCCGCCTCCTGCTTTGCTGGCTCCCTCTAGCACCCCCTGCTGGTGCATCAGGGACCCGGATGGCAGAGGAGAGGTATGTTTGCAGGATCCCAGTCCCAGCAACATCTTGCTGCTTGGATGGATGTGGGGAATGAGAGACAAGTGCAATGGAAACACACATTGCAGAACATGTCCCCACTTTTGTATTCCCAGTGAAGCTTTTCCTTGGGACAAAGGGTCTGTTTCTTATTTTCTTGGGATTTAGGATACAGACTAAACCTGAGTTTCCAAGGTGAACTCAAAGTACTAGAAAAAAATATTAAGCTAATAGTGAGTTTTCATGGGATAGTCAATACCATCATTTACTGGAATTGATGAATACAAATTCATGGAAAAGCCTCGCCTTGTGTGATCCAATCATAAAATCAATTAGCGTTGCTACCTTATTATCATCATGTCAGATAGACAAGCACACCATACAGGATGTTTATGGACAGAACTAAGAAAACTGAAACAAAACCTGATTGTACAGAAATACCCAGGCCTCTCGGCTTTGGGGCTTCCCCTCCCCTTCTCAGTGGCTTGCCCCCTTCACTCAGCCTCCACCTTCAGTTGGAAGTTCATGATGATGGGAAAAGAGGCTCTGGAGTCCTGCTGGTAGAAAAGATTTTACCTGATACTAAAAAAAAAAAAAAAAAATGATGGACAGCTTCATATCATCTTCCTGAAAGTCACTGTCTCTCGTCTAGCCCTGGCCCCTTAATGGCCCTGGTGGTTGGGAGTCAACCTTCTGGGTTCTCTATTAAGCATCACCCACAGCACCAGGCCCCTCTGTGACAAACCTACTGGAACTTAAACTCCAAGGGTGAAAATACAATCTGCATACACAAAGAGGCCTCATTATTTGGGGTCAGTAATGACAGGAAGAATGAAATTTCAAAACATAGACCTACCTGGTCTCTTACCAGCCCCATACACTTCGGTCTTTCCCTTCAGGCTTTTAGTCCAGTGGCATGCCACATGCTGTCATGTGCTTTCCAAATCCTGTCTCCTCTTCTGACTCACAGATGCTTTGATGACATTTTTATTGCCAGCAAACCAAGTACCTACCACATTTGGCCGACCTGGTTACTTCCATGTGGCTGTGAATAGAGAAGCCATGAGATAAGTGGGGTTAAAGAGTGTTTACAGGAAAGCCTTTCCATGTCTGGCTGCCCAAAAGAGCAGGCAGTAGGGGAAATGGAATTTATCTGTGCCATGGAGGGGGGAAAGTACCTCTGAGTGTTTGGAATCAGGTGGGATTAACTGCTGACTTCTCTGATTACTTCCTGTGTGGCCGTGGGTGAATCACTTAGTTTCTTTAAACCTGTTTTCTCCTCTGTAAAGTACAAATTTCATTTGCCTTAATGGAGCTGTGATAATGGTTAAAAATATTTCACCTGCTTTATACAACTTGATCTCCCAAACTCTTTATGAGGCAGGTGATATAAACCTGCATTTTAATAACGAAAAAACCCAGCTCAAAGAGGTTAAGGGATTTTCCTAAAGCCACACTGCTAACAAACAGCAGAGATGAGATTTAAAATGCTCCAGTCCAGGGTTGTTTCCAACAGGTAAATAAGGTCCCAGATTTATGTGATTCATATGCTGAGTGCAGCAAGTATCTGGGAAATGTTTATGTTTTCTATGTATGGGAGATGGGTATGTGTTTGGAATTATAGAAAGGAACATAGTAGGTATTTTTCTGTGCTTAGCCTGTGAGTTGTAAGCCACCATTGCCTTTGTGAAACTCTTCTGCCCATATTATACCCCCTATCCCTACTTTTTCTGGAATGTAGAACATAAGAACTATATTAATGTCCAAGAGAGGGGAGAAAAAAGAAATAAGAGAAAAGAAAATTCACAGAATCACCTAATGGTGAAATGTGTTTATTTTTTTAAAGATTTATTTTTATTTATTTATGAGAGAGAGAGAGAGAGAGAGAGAGAGAGAGGGAGAGAGAGGCAGAGAGAGGCAGAGACACAGGCAGAGGGAGAAGCAGGCTCCATGCCGGGAGCCCAATGCGGGACTCGATCCCTGGACTCCAGGATCCGCCCTGGGCCAAGGGCAGGTGCGAAACCACTGCACCACCCAGGGATCCCCTGAAATGTGTTTAAATTAAATTCTATAGTATACCCAGCATTGACTCTGACTCATAGTAGCTATTCATTAAGTGCTAAGATACTATCCCCCACACACACTTTTTTAAAAAGTTTGTTTGTTTGTTTGTTTGTTTGTTTGTTTGTTTGAGAGAGAGAGAGAGAGAGAACACAAGTGGTAGGGAGAGAGCAGAGGAAGAAGCAGATTCCCCACTGAGCAAAAAGCCCAACGTGGGGCTTGATCCCAGGACTCTGGGACCATGACCTGAGCAGAAGGCAGACACCCAACCAACAGAGCCACCCAGGTGTCTCTATCTTCCCACACCTTCTATAAAGAAGAGCTATCACTAACGTTTTGTTTTGAAAATTGTTATCAACCAAAGTTTTTGTAGTCATATGTGGATTATATGTAAATAAAATGTCAACACTTTTCTTATA